CCCTCCGCATCTCTGACCTGTACCCCAGTTCTGTATGAATAAATAAATCTTTAAAAAAATATATTAAAAAAAAAAACATATACAGTATTATTAAGCAATATTACTGCAACAAAAAATTTCTTCTGAAAAGGAGAAACATGCTTATGTAGAAAGATCTCAAACACATTAAAGGGGTGGGTGGAGCAAAAAATAAAAATATACTGTTATAAATAAATAGCATGTCTAAGACAGAAGTATAAGCTAAAAAGATAGAGAAAAATAACAGAAGTTATCTCAGAAATGAGACCACATACCTAGTAGGAGGCAAATCATTGTGTATTCTGTTTTTCTTGTAGTGGTTAAAACAGTTTAAACACATGAAAGACAACTACTCATACAATAATTTTAAGTAAACATATTCACCTGTAACAGCTTTGTTTTGCTAGAAAGATCATTTTCCCTCTCTTTTAGCATAGTTTCTATTCTCTTCATTTCATTTTCTTTTTCTTTCAACCTAGAATTTTTACAAATATATTAATTGTGTACATAGAAAAGGACAACCAGACTCCAACATCATGCCGAAGAAAAAGAGAGAACATTGCTCCTTCTCACCAACCAGTAAATTTGTTCAATTAAGTAAAGGATATCCAAAAGCTCAACAGTTTACTCCATAGTTAACATTTTGTTAAGTATAGCTTTAGCTAGGAAGAAAAAATTAAAAGGTTAATAAGAGCAAAGCCATTATTTCATCACCTAATTGTAAACATTATCATTTAAAAAGTAAATTTTGCTCCCAAGGATCTTGGGCCATAATTAGTTAATATTAATATGCCCAACCCTTTGGACTGAAGAGACACTACAGATAATGCTTCTCTTATTCAACATACATATAAATCTTTCTTGTGTGTGTGTGTCTGTATAAATCTAGTCCAAGTGAATTCCAACTGCCCTTTTCATCCTAAGCAAGAGATCTCTAGCAAAATAGTTAATAATACTGAAGTGACCTGTTTAATTATATCCTTAGGGCAACAAACCATTTTAGCCATTTCATTATTCCCAAAGCTATTTCCAATGCCAGAGGAAACTCAAATATTTGCTGAGTTGAAAATTATTTTTATACCACTTTAACCTAGAATTTCAATATGCTTTTAAGTCTACATGAAAAATGAAGAGTAGGCTTAAAGAAATAAAGGAAACAGCAAACATTAAATACACATTGCTAAATCAAAATAGTATGAACATTTTTTCTGTAAACTACAAACATTCCCCCAAATTCTATACATCAAAAAAAGAAAACTGTGAAGCAGAAATATATCTAAAATCATACTTTAATGATCTATATATCTATTACAGTATCTATTACAAATAGGCCACAAATGTGTCTCAAAGTTTTCTATAAGCAAAACACCTGGATAGTTACATAATGCCACAGGATTAATAATTACTTGTACAAATGTGCTACCATGCTGCTATGAATAGAAACATTTAAAAAATGACCTAATCAATATCCTCAAGAACCTTACTTCACTTCCCACTTCTTAAGACAAACATCAACAATGACTGAAGGTATTACATCAAAGCAAAATTCCTGAAAAAACATTTGTATGGGGGGTGTTGCAAAAAAGATGAAGTTCAGATAACCTTCTCACCACTGTTGACTGATTTAGTTTGAAAGAACAGACTTTATAGGTAAAAAGGGCTTAATACCTTGATAAAATTCATCAGTTTTACTGTTCAACACAGGATAACTGTTATGACAACATACAGTTTTTCCCAGTAAGTTATTTTTATAGAAAGATTCAATATTTCTGATCAAGATTATCGCTAAGGCTATCTTTATAGGTAATTCCAATGTTATTTCTCCTAATGCAAAAACACATTTCACTTTTCTTTATAATAATTATATTGTTCTTTTTTTTTTTTTTAAACCAAACTGCAGAAATTATATTTTAGAAAATTAGTCTGAAGGGTTTGGAAAAAACAGAAAAGTCTTCAAAAGTATTTGAAAGCACTTAAAGAAACTATATTTTATTATACCAAATATAGACATAGTTTATTTGCATTTAGACTATAAATCCTACTAAAGAAGTTAATGACTTAGAAGAACTTCATCATAACATTCAAACACATTCTAAAATATTACAGTAAATTCCTCTTTAAAATGCTAGCTAAAAGCATACTTACACAGTCTCAAGTTCTTCAAATCGTGATGTAGGACAGGCCTAAAAAAGATTTCACATTTTTAATGCTAATATCAAAAAGATAAGTAACAATATATAGTATGTGTGTCTCTTCTCTGTGTGGACACATGCATATATAGAAGAAATCACTCACTTCTTAAATAACAATTATATGTGTAGATGGATACATTTCGGATTGGGTCATTTATAAAACGAAAACAAAATGAAATCTGATTTATTTACTTTTTAATGTCTATTCCTTAAAGATTTAAGATCAATATAGTAATCTGACACTTAAAGATGAATTTAATGACCATCTGCAAAAGTAAGGATGGAAAAGTTCAGGTGGACAAATCAGACTGTAACTGATTTGACAGGTATGTAAGTTGACTTATTTTATCAACAACAAACTATAATACAATAATTTTCATGGCAAAGAAAGCTGAAACATAGTTACTTCTTTACTTTTTAGTACAGTAAAAGATTTTTCTCATTCTTTATGTAATACCCTGGTGATCTGTTTATTGGTGATCTGTTTATATTTACCTCTTTCAAGTTATGATGTGCTACCTCCTGAACATGAGCTTTTAAAGTTTCATTTTCTTCTTGAAGATCCTAGAAAGTAATAGAAGTGATATGAACTGATATTCAAGCACAAAAAAAGTATTTATTTTTGTTTTTAACTTCTCACCTGTAACCACTTCCCTCTGTTGGCCAGATCTTTCTCCTTCTCTTCTAAATCAGTCTTCATGGTATTCATCTGTTCTTCCTTTCCTTTTAATCTGACAATAAAATTAGTAAGAGCTATCAATGAAAGTTATTATATAGGTATAAAAGATAAAGACACTGGCAACTCGACTAGTACATTTTAGTTATACTAAATTTAATCAACCCAAACTGATTTAAATAAATTAAAAAACATTTTTAGTACAAAAACAATTTTAGAGCTATCAAAGTAAGAAAGGATGATTAAAGAAAGTTATTCCACCTAACACTGAAAATCCAGATATTGAATAAATTACAGTAGTTCTACTATCAGTCCATATAACCCTGCTTAAGACAACAGCAGCAAATTCAGACAGTTTATTACAGCTGGCCGGATGTGAAACACATCTAATTTCATAGTGGCTACAAAATAGGCAAAAGGCAACATCTCAGAGGTCACATTCAGATTATAAAATCACGAAAAATAGGACATACTGCTCTAGCCCTACAACTGTCTAAAAACTACAGGTTAATCCTAAACAAATTTAAGGCCTTGAAAATTTTTGAGATATAATTTTGTATTCTCTAAAGTATCACTGGAAATCAAACAAAAAGAGCTATGATATTCATTTTAATTGTATGTAACTTGTAGAAAAGCTATGTTAAAGGAAAATGAGAGATATGGTACTTACAAATTCTGAAGCTCCTGAACTTGAGAAGTAATAGATAACTAAAATACAAAGAAAAAACTGTTTATAATCTTTTCAATTTACCTGATGCCAAATTTTAAAATGTATGTACTTCTAATTACAAAGAACCTAGGATGAATTATTCATCCAAAATGAGTTTTGTCTTGATTTTTTACTTTCCCTTCACTCCACTGTCAGCTACCAATAATAGGTCAAAATAACACTTTAATTTTGAAAATTAGAATATTAACTGTCTACATACCTCTCTACCACACATTATCTGCGCTTCTCTCCATCCCAGTCCTCAAAGCAAGCTACTCAATAATACTCTACACTGTCCTCCTTTAATCCCCTTAACATAGACAGTTCAGTAGAGTACCTTTCATGCCCTAGTTGTTCCATGGTCCCTTCAGTTTTGAATTAGATGTCAATTCCTTGGGAGGAAACTTGCCTGAGCTCTCAATCTATATCAGAGTAGGATCTTTTCATCACATCCTGTTTCATTTCAATACATTATCTCCAATCACTAGCATAGTGCTTTGAAGTAGGAGGAACCCATAAATATTGTTAAATGACTGTTAGAAGAATGAATCAGCTCTTTCACGTAAGCTCATCATTTTTTCAATGTGATCTTTTCATAATAAATTCAGTAAAATCTATCTAGTCCCGGTAACCACATCTACCTCTGAAATTCCCCCAATTAAATTTGTATCCTGTTACACAGGCAAAAGTTGAGTAGTATAGGCCCTCCCTGGTGGCGCAGCGGGTTAAAGCACAGCACTGAGAAACTAAAGCCACTTCCACATGAGTTCGATTCCCGCCTGCCCCGGAGGTGACCACATGGCGTGGCAGACCTCTCC